AAGCTGAGGCAAAGAGGCAGTCCCAAAACCAGCAAAATCACGGAGCTAGAGAGGGGACAGATTGCATTTGTCTTCAGTGTGGAAGGGACTGTCACTCTCGAATTGGCCTTCTCACTAGACACTGTTCCAGACCTCTGTTCAGAGAACGTTACCATAGTCTTGAGACTGAAGGATGCCTACTTTATTCATTATGGGTAAATCTTGTCTCAAACATAAAACAACAAAGTCTGAAGAAGGTAAGATGTTCTCTCTGTGGGTGTTTATAAATAAATGGACATACATAAATATTAAAGATGCTCAGACTTACGGGTGGCTGCACGCTCCATGCTGAAGAGAGGTGTGTCACAAAAATAGGGCCTCACACTATACAGCTGCAACAAAACTATATTTTGGTTAACAGACAGCTTTACCGCCTCAACCCTCCCTCCCTCCAACCAGCGCTGGCGTTCCAAATGGGGAGTCTGGAACTTCCCCCTTTTGTTTCTTCCATGGTGACTTGGAAGACAACTACGAGCAGCATGCACAGGGACCCCTCCTTGACTGCTAACAGCCAGTCCACCTTACCTCCTCCCTCCACTCTTTTAAGCAGGGGAAGGCCTGCTGGTCCCTCAGTTCCTGGAGGACCTCTTGCACCGCAGCTGTCCGTTGTTCCCAGGATGCCAGCTGCACGTTCAGCTCCATATAAGCAGGTGCCTCTTTCCCTTGAGACACTGAGAAAACAGATGGATACTGGCAGAGACGTTTGGCTACCGCCTGTGGCACATGGCCTACCTGTTGTCCGGCAACCCTAAGCGGCAGGCACAGAGCCTTGGAGGAGCCTAGAAGGAGATCCAGACACACAAACAGTCTAATCTCTCTGAACGACAGCCAAGTGGAAATGACTGCTCGCTGAAGAGGTGCCTTATGTCTCTGCTGTCTTGAAGTGCCTCTACCATCCCTGAGGCCCCTCTGATCAAGTGTTCTTACTGCAGTGAGCATAAGAAGCTCCTCTGATGTATATTCCTGCACTGAGCAGGGGACTGGACTCGGTGGCCTTTTATAGGCCCCTTCCAACTCCATGATCCTATGATAGGATCAGACCTAAGTATCCCTCCATCAGCTCCTTATCCGCGGTTGGTAAGTTTCAAGCATTCCTCTGCTTGAAACTTCAGTCTGGCTCTATGAATCCAATATAAGTGGAGACAAACAGACTGGACTGAAAGTGCATTGCTCGACAGTAGAGCTACAGCTGACCTGACGAATCTTGTGGGAAAAGGATCATAGCTGAAAGGTAGGAAGCCGCTTGTACCTTTTGTCCATTGAAAAGCCTCATCTGATTCCATGTTACACCAAAATTATGGGATAAATTACAGAGTCTACTCATGGAAGGGTGAATTCTATAGCTAATTAAAGCACATTACTAAAGTTAACCAGTACAGGTACCTTGTATTCAAGCAGGACTCTTGCCCAATACCATTCCAACGACAAAAGGAGTTAGCCAGTCAAGTGTTCTTGCTCTTTTGCTATTCAGTTCATCTCTCTCAGACCTACCAGGATTCTTTATAACGATTATCTCATTCTTCTAAAATAGCAGCTTCTAGAGGCTATAAATACTGTATACCCTTGTTTGCTGTCTATGCAATTCTATCATCTTGCTTCAGGCATACTTATTAGTTAAATTGATAGCATACTATAAATTAACACACTTGCTATAGATGATGAAAAGACAAAGGCAATGATCGTTAAGGGAAGGCCAAAATATACATGGTGACTAAAAAGTGAAGACAATGAACAAATATACAAATATTCAGGTCTGCACTTCCAGCTTACACTGTTATTCTGCTTATATGGAATATCACTACCTAAGCCAAACGTTATTTGAGGACCATCACTCCTATTTATTACATTAGGGGAGAAAAGAAAAACCAAGCTGTTATTCATCTACTCAAAGTGAATATTTAGATCCTATATGAAGCACCATACAGTATGGGAACTGTACATCTAAGAAAACTACAGGCAGGCTTTTTAAGGAAGCTCATGACCCTTTCAAAAAGGTTGGGAGGAGCACACTTGAATTTCGAACCAGGATCGTGCACTTATAGTATAGAAATAGGTGCTTGCCACTGATGCACCTAAGATCTAGTTATGTCACCACCACACTAACCTGCAGAGTTAGAGATTCCTACACATCTAGCCATTACTAACCATTTGTGTTTTTTCTTTAAACTTTTTAATTTTTTGCCCAAACTGTAACTCCACAAGTTAAGCAGCTAATCAGACAAAGAATACTGGATGCAGCATCAATTGGCTCAAGCAAACTGTGTTGCTCACCCTTAGCTCTTCGGGTTGCATTCTCTAATATTATGCAAAAGGTTAGTCACTCGTAGAGTCTTAACTATCCCGAAGTAATGTTTAACCTTCATACCAGCAAAGCTGATTGTGATACAGCTCCTATAACTAAGGATAATATGGAGAAATCTCATGACAGCATTTACAGATCACTCTGATAAGCATTTATACATATACAGTATATTTGAAATGGACACAAAACATTAAAATGACCCAGAATGTCATTATATTTTAAAATGAAGTTTTAAAATGTATACTAGACCCAAGAGGCAAATAAACCATTAATTGCATAAATCCATTAAATTATTTATTGTATAAAGTTATTTCCCTACTGTTGTTACATTTTGGATTGTCATGCTCTTATTATCTATAATAATTACTATACATAGATTTCTTTTCCCTTTGTGCCTTTTTGTAAAAGCACTAAGCACATGCATGGATGGATGGACGGACGGACGGACGGGCGGATGGATCTTGTCCTCATTCCCTAAGACTACTTTCTCGGTTATTCTCTTTTTGAAACATTTTGGGACAACACTGCCCCTTAAGTACAGAAATATAGGTTTTGGAGGGGTCATCTATGGAGGTCCATAGCCCAGACCTGCTCCTAGGAAGAGATACTAGATTGAAGTGGAAAGAGGTATGGAAAAAGTTCTGCTTGTAGCAATTGAATGTGCTGTGAAGGAGAGCTATGTAAGAAGACTCCTGCTGGAAGGAGACCAAAAGCCTATTTTGACCAGCGTTCTGTTCCCACACTGGCCAGCCAGATGGCTCTGGGAAACCACAAACATGTAACAAATGCAACCTCATCTTCCAGCTTCTGTTTCCCATCATCCAGTTCGCAGAAATACTCTTCCTCTGATACTGGAGACAACTGGTAGCCATCATGACAAGTAGCCACTGATGAGTATATTCTGCATCTACTTTTTAAATTTGGGGGAGCGTCCTAGATCTCTTTACCAAAGGTTTCTAAGCAGAGGCAATTCAAATGCAGGAATAGGTGACACCTTCACTGGACCATTAAGAAAATAAATCAAAAACCAAAAGAAGAGAGCAAGCTTTTAATGATCAATTCACCTTCCTCAGATTCTGCATTAGGTTCCTGTGGGTAGCTCCAAAATAATATGTTTATATTAAAGTCCCAAAAGTTTGATGGCTGCCGTGGCAGGCCAGACACAGCTTCTTAGATGGTGACAGTTGTTGTCTGCAGTCTACAAGGGCCAGTGATTTGGAATTTCTGACCCATCTCTCTAAACAAAGGTGGCCAACAATCTGATTTCCCCCCCTTTCCTCTCCCTCTTTCCTTCATCTCAAACTCAAAGAGTTTCGGTTGGGCCACTAGAGAAAATCAGCAGTGTAACAGAGGCATGGCCAGCCTCCATCAGCGTTGGGATCAAACATTTATTTAAACCACCAGGAAGAGCCAATTTCATCTAAATCAATGGTTTTGCCTGGTGGATGCTTTCCAGTACAAAGCAGAGGCGAGTAGGGGTGGGTGTGGAATTCTGGGAGCTGTAGTGCCAAAACACAAAGACTGACAACTCTAAGGAGCCACAGAAACTACAAATCCCAGGGTTTCCACAGGGGTGACAAACTGGGAAACGCTGCTGAGAAGTCAACGGTGTGCTTCAATATCCCGCCATTACCTGCTGTATTCCTTGATGGCAGCTGTCCCAGTTTCGGGTGTCTTGAGTTCCCCTGCTTTTGAGGACCTCTGAGGGATGGAGGCATTTCGTCCCTAACGACCCTCCACACACACACCCCCAAATCCATCTCACGGTGCTTTATAAGCCGCCGCTGCCCGCACCGCCCGCTCCCCCCGGCCCGCCGCAGCTGCACCTGCTCCGTGGAACGAGTTCATCCTTCTCAGCAGTTCCCGCACGCGATCCGACCATCCCTGCGCCGCCATGAGAGCCGAAGGGCGAAGCTCTGCCTCCTCGCCCAATCATGTCGAGCCATTCTGTTGGGACCGCACCATGGCGAAGGTCTGATTGGTCACGGAACCGGGACACTTCCAGCCACTCAAGCATCCTGCTTTTCCGGGTCCGCCCCTCTCCTGGCAAATTCATAGATTCTGCAGAGGAAAAAAAAAAGGAGGAAGCTTTTAATCCTCCCCCTCTTCCCCGGTTCCGTTAAACTGTGCCAGATCGCCTGACAATGAAAAGGGCGCATTCCTATCCCCCCCCCACACACACACACCGTAAAGGTCTTTGTCATAGCACAGCTGTCAGATAGAGAAGGGCTCCAGGGAGAGGGGCACTGGGGTCAAACGGTGGCAACTCCAAATTAAAACCGGATCAGTCCATTTTTTTAAATTTTTGCCTGAGCAACAGCAGCAAATGGAGTCGCCCTTCCGCCCACGCACCCAGCCAGGAGATGATGCTTTTGCGGCTTAGTCGTTTAGTCGTGTCCGACTCTGTGACCCCCATGGACCTGAGCTCGCCAGGCCCTCCTGTCTTCCTGAGATGGTGCTTGGTAGTCCTCAAAAGCTGGGCAAGTTCCCTCCAGCAGCCTGAACGTAGGTCTCCATCAGAGAAAAATTCAAGGACAATGTAAAGGACTCAGTTTGATGCCCTTTCATGGCACCCGAAACCTGCTACCATTTTAAAGCATGAAAACCAGCTTTAAAAGTCTTTAATAAATAAAGTAATAGTATGTAGCTTAAACTAAGAAGATATAAGACCTTGTAAGCAAAAACTAGTAAAGTAATAGTATGCAGCTTAAACTGAGAAGATTTAAGAACTTGTAAGCAAAAACTAGTACTGAGCTTTGCAAAAAGAACAAATAATAAAAAACGCAAAACATTAAATAGACGTGTTGGTGGTGGATATCTAGAGATACACACTTAAAAGGCATGCTTTGATTTGCACAGCTGTGGGAAATAAGTGCTCCTGCAGATGTTGACAGCTTTCATCAGCCCTGATAGTGGGGACTGATGTCCAGCAGTATCTGCAGGGCCTTGTTTCTTCATTCCTGGAATACCATATTTGGACTGTCACAGAGGTGGATAACATGCGGTGATCTGCATAGGATTGCCTTTGAGTCCGCAAGAATAATTTTGCTTGATCAAACTCCTGTCTATTTAATTTAGCATATTGTTTTTAGCACCACTCATCGAACCAGAAGTTTCTGACAAGCTTGCAAGATCTGTTGACAGCCTCCCCATGCTAAACATCTTTGCTTAATAAAGGGAAGATAAGCACAGCTTTCATGGCTAAATATTGATGGATGGATGGCTGGATGGACCCTTCCATCCAAAGAATCACACTGAGTCAAACTAGGGAAACAACTTTTTTTAATTATAATTATTCATAATACACTTTGAATATGTTTACATTTGTCTTGCTTTTTTAAAGTGTCTGGCTTCTAAGAACTTTTTTTTATCACAACGGCCAGTAGAAAAATAACCAAACTCTTAAAAACAAAGGCGCTCCTTGGCGCTTCTCACAAAGAGAGGGGTGGAGAGGCAACAATGAGAGGGTTGTCTTAGAATAGGGATGTTAATGGTGAAGAGGCAATGTGTTTAGAGAACAGTTCACAAAGAGACTCATCGTTTATTATGTACAGAGCAAAGAGGTTGCAATGGCTGTGGCAGATGCCTGCTTTGAAGCAAATGATCAATTGGAAAAATTAGTCAGTCCTCATAAACCTCCCCCCCCCCGGAGAATAGTGAAAAACTATTCTATAAATCCTGTTCCAATATGCTTAGCATGCATTTCACCTTGTCTGCTTTATTCATAAACCACTAAATGCTGGTGCTTCTTCAGATGGAACTCAGATGCTGTAGTTTTAGCTTCCCTCTGTCCCATTCAGCACTGGGAATAGAACTGAAGAGTTTGTGCTCCTGGGTCCCTGCATAAGAAGTATTTTGTTTTTCAAGCATGACTTCTCCAGTGATACTGTGAGTCCACATTGCAATTTAGTAAGTAAAAAAAAAACAGCCTCTAAAGAAAAGTAAGAGTTGGATCTGGAGGCAGAGAACAGATTGTTAAACCAACAAACATTTTAAAGACATTTACTCTCAGTTGCCTCCTTTTGGAGGAAACTATTAAGAGCTATTATATCCTGAATAACCTGGCTTGAAAAAGGTGTAATCCTCCAGTTCAGCCACAAACTAGCATCAATAAATAGAGGACCACCAGAGACTCAATACGCCTGCCTGCCTGCCTTCAGCCATTAAAATGGTGATGGTACGGATTGTCAAGCAGCTGAGAAATTACAATACTGTACACAGCTTTGGTTGTGTTTGGCCTGACAGGCCACCCATTGTGCAGGTCTGCCTCCCATTACACCTTACTCCTTATGGTCAGACCCTGCATACCAGCCAAGGAGTGGAAGGAGAAATTCCTCCACTTATGAAATCAATTTCCAGGCCTAGTTCTCAAACATCTCAGCTTGCCAGGAGCATCCTGTTCTATTGCCATGAAAATGCTTCAGAGTGTTCTCCAGAGACAGAGAGCATGACATGGAAGGCTTGCCTCTTTTCCCCTTAAAGAGATGTATGGAGTTACCAAGTCAAAGGAAGGTGGCATTTTAAATAGATCATCAGGGGATAGCTTAGATATCACAATTTCATAAGGCTGG